TTGGATGGGTTAAATGCAGAGCACTAATTCCGAGTATGGGTCACCATACTTGGCCATATGTCACATGTCACGTCATGTCACGTATCTCAGGGGATACATCGCCCTTTTAGGGGTATAAATCAAGATATAAAAACATATAGTGCCTATATATACTCTGTGATTTTGTGGCTTGTGTTTTAGAAAATCAAATCTTTTTGTAATCTTGACAAAACACATATGGTTCAAAACTAAACATGCATAAAAAACCTTCATATTCATGACATGTGTCATGTCATGATTATGTAGGTGTCATGTCAGTCTTATGCACACCCCTTCAAGTAAAGTGTTACCAATGCTTTCACTTCAGCAATAATCTGCTATGTGTCTTCTTTAAAATGAGACCAACCTTAGGTCTGTATTAGGTCTGCATTGATAAACAAGTGTTCTATTTTCAGTTAATTTATACCCCCAAACTGGCAACATATCCTGTGGGATACAAACATTAAAATCAAAACTAAAAGTCATGTTTTGAAAAAAATGATCAAGCTGTATTATTTGTGTCCCAATAAGATGGAAAATAGCAATACATTAATTTTCTGATGTCTCTTTATGACCTTGCCATTTTCAAAAACTTCAGTCTGCAGACTCCAAATCAATCCTGATAAACGAGAAGCAGGGATTTTAGGCAAACTCAATATTTACTGCAAATTTGAGGCAGAAATGTACAGAGTATAAAAGAACAGACTTCTGCAAGCCGTTGTACTGACAGACCTGAGCACACAGGTCACCCTCGTCCAGCTGAGACACGCTTCTGCTTTCCGACTCCACGCATTCATTTGCCATCGTGTTTCCTCTTCAAAGTCCAGATGAACTCAAATAGTTGTAAATACTTTAAGTTCTTTTTATAAAGCTGTTGAACGTCCACACAAACACGTTAACAGACAAACTTTCTGCTGGTTACCAAGGAAACTGTATCGCAAATTTGGCACAAAAATCATGGCAGGGGTGGTTAGCATGGGTAACATGGAGAATCTAACCATCTGGCAGGATATGACACCATGATTACACGACCGTATCCCCTGTGCAAACTCTGTGCAGCTCCATAGTAAACACGATATGATAGAACGACCTTCATCAGAGAAGCCCTGTGTTCAGTACAAATCACCACATTCATGTTTTATAGAAAAGATTAACATCGTAAGTTCTCAGCAAAGCCTGTATGTCCTATCACGGCGCGAGTGATGTAATAGCACAGCATGAGTGATGTCATAGTACTGCATGAGTGACGTCATATCACTGATAAATACAGAAAAAGAAACGCAATGCTTTCAAATTGAGTTCGAACATCTTCACAAAACATATGAAACAAGCTCAGATACAATACAGATTTAAAATGATCGAAAAGCATTTTCACAAAATGATAACATTTAGCAAGACACAAATTATTTTAAAGATGCTTAACTTGAAAATTGTACACATCCGCTCTCTCGCGCTCATGAATAATCGTCGCACGCATTCTGCTCTTTAAAATACTCAGTGTGATCCGTCAACTAAATTAATAGATTACACCAAAAGTAAAATGCACCCGTTCACAGAGAGAAAAGGGGGAAAGAAAGAAATAAAGAGAGAGAGAGAGAGAGAGAGAGAAAGAGAGAGAGAAAGAGAGAGATGTGGTATAAAATAGTACTTCTTTGTGATTATAAAGAAAGAAAACAAATTTAGGATTCAAAATCAATCGGGCTTCAAATGACCTTCCTTGCTATGGATATAATCTGAGCTTAAAAACGATTAGAAAAAAAATAAAAAATTCTGACACATTCAAAAAAGCTGTCTGTACATTGACGTTAATATATGTTATACTGTACAATAGCCATTAATATGTTTGTTATTACAGGTTATTATTATTACATATCTTAGAATAAGTGCTTGGTTGGTTCGTAATGGTGAACCACTGATGGGACTCCAGCGCCCCCTACTGTTCTTGCGGATCAGACCACCTGCGGGGGCTTTAAGAGTCTTGCTGCACCACCTAGAGGCGGCAGCGGTACTACAACTGCTCCATTTTCCCATCTTACTCCAAAGAGAAGTTTCTTAACTGCTCATATAACGTGAAAGCTGACAAAAGTCAGACGCGTATGAAGCAGTGCGTTCATACTGAGCCGAACTGTTTATGTTAGCGCACTTCCTTCTGCTTTATACTGATGGGCCATACTGATTCATTCTAGATGATTGTGCTCATGTTATGTATTGGGTTCACCTGCTAGTATACTTTTGAATACTGGTGAACAGTTTGCACCGGTTTGATCTGGTTTACAGTAATAAGGATTCGTGGGATGTGAGTGTTGCGTGTCGGCGTGTGGAGTTTCTGTTGCATGTTATACGCGTGTTGTGGAGTGTGGGTGAGGCAGGCTGGTGGAGTTGTATCCGTGTGTGAAAGTGTTGTAAGGGTGCATGCTGGGATACCCCATCAAAGAATTG